GTGGTGGTTTATCTTCTCATTCTCCAGAGCTGACATCCTTCTGCACTCTCAGAGCTGGAAGTCAGCTAGATCTTTGTCTGGATTGTAGACTTCAACTCTTCATCTGGGATCAAAGGTGTTGTATTTGAAATGCAGAATTCTACTGAAGCCTGCGTGGGTCAGGCCCACCCTCCAGGCGAACCTGTGCGAAGGTGGCGGAGTCAGTCTAGTGTGTGTGCTCACTTGCTTAGTCGTGTCTGACTCTTTGCAACCTAATGGGCTGTAGCCCGCCAGGCTCCTCTGTCCATGAGGTTTCCCAGGGAAGAAAACTGGAGTGGGTTGCCATTTCCTTTTCCAGGGGATCTTCCCCACCCAGGGATGGAGCCTGCGACTCCTGCAGTTGTGAGGGAAGAGAATTCTGCGGTTTCTCTTTCTGCAGATATTCTAGACTGAGGAATGTGTTTCAGCCTGTTGATCATAAAGATTTGTGTTTATTATTTTTACCTCTAAGACAATGTTTCTCAGCTTTTAGAATGACTGTTTGCCTAAGGAGAAAAGTTAAATTTAATTTGAATTCTCTTTTAAGGAGAAAAGTGAAGTAGTAAGGAATAAAGATTTTGTGGAGTAGGGTTGGACCTTGGTGGACTCCAGACTCTTTTTTTTTTTTAAATTGAGATATAATTCATATAGCGTGAACTTCATCCTTTTAAAGTGTTTATTTACAGTTTAGTAGCTGTACAGTCATCACTAATTCCGGAACATTGTCATACTCCAAAAGAAACTACCTACTCATCAGCATTCCCCTCTGATTCCCATTAGTCACTCCCCAGCATTCCTGTCTGTGGCAACCACTAATCAATTTGATAACTCTATAGATCCTTCCATTTTGATTTTTTTATATAAACAGAATCATTCAATATGTGACCTTTTAGTAACTGGCTTCCTAGACTTAGCACAACTTAGGTGGACACTTGGGGTGTTTCCACACTTTGACTGTGATGAATAATGCTGCTATGCACTTTTGTGTACAGGTTTTGTGTGCAGACATATGTTTTTAGTTCTCTTAAGTTTTATTCTCTAGGAGTGGAATTTCTGGGTCATTAGGAAACTCTGTATTTGACTTTTCGAGGAGTTGATGAACTCTTTTCTAAGGAGGGTGTACTGTTTTTACAGTTCTACCAGCAGGGTTATGAGGGTTCTGATTTCTCAGCATCCTCAGTATTTGTTACTTCCATCTTTTCAATTGTAGCCGTCCTAGTAGAGGATGAAGTACCTCATTGTGGTTTTATAAAAAAAAAAATTTATTTTTGTTTTTTGCCTGTGCTGCATCTTTTTTGCTGTGAGGGCTTTCCTCTAGTTGCAGTGAGTGGGAGGGGGTGGGTACTCATTGTGGCATTTGGGTTTTCATTGCAGTGACTTATGTTGTTGCAGGCCACAAGCTCTAGAGCTCAGGCTCAATAGTTGTGACATGCGCTTAATTGCTCTGTGGCATGCGGGATCTTCCCAGGTCAAGGATCGAACCTGAGTCTCCTGAATTGACAGAAAGATTCTTTACCGCTGAGCCATCAGGCAGGCCCCTCATTGTGGTTTGGATTTATGTTTCCCTAGGGGAAACAGTGGAAACAGTGACTGACTTTATTTTTCTGGGCTCCAAAATCACTGCAGATGGTGATTGCAGCCATGAAATTAAAAGATGCTTACTCCTTGGAAGGAAAGTTATGGCCAACCTAGACAGCATATTGAAAAGCAGAGACATTACTTTGTCAACAAAGGTCCGTCTAGTCAAGGCTGTGGTTTTTCCAGTGGTCATGTATGGATGTGAGAGTTGGACTATAAAGAAAGCTGAGAGCCGAAGAATGGTTGCTTTTGAACTGTGGTGTTGGAGAAGACTCTTGAGAGTCCCTTGGACTGCAAGGAGATCCAACCAGTCCATCCTAAAGGAAATCAGACCTGAACATTCATTGGAAGGACTGATATTGAAGCTGAAACTCCAATACTTTGGCCACCTGATGCGAAGAGCTGACTTATTTGAAAAGACCCTGATGCTGGGAAAGGTTGAAGGTGGGAGGAGAAGGGGACGACAGAGGATGAGATGGTTGGATGGCATCATCAACTCAATGGACATGGGTTTGGGTGAACTCCGGGAGTTGGTGATGGACAGGGGGGCCTGGCCTGCTGCAGTTCATGGGGTCGCAAAGAGTCGGACACGACTGAGCGACTGAACTGAACTGAATGACAAATGGTTTTGAGAATCTTTTCAAGTGTTGTTGCCACTTGTATATTTTCTTTGGAGAAATGTTTCTTCAGATTATTTGCCCATTTTTAAAATTGGATATTTGTCTTTTTATTGTTGAATTGTGGGAATTCTTTATATATTGTGGATACAGATCTCTTACTGATTACATGATTTGCAAATGTTTTCTCCCATTTTGTGAATGGTCCTTTCATAAAGTGTTCATTGAAGCACAAACATTTTGATGAAGTCCAGTTTATCTATTTTTTTCTTTTGTTGCTTGTACTTTTGGTGTCTTACCTGAGAAACCAGTGCCTGATTCAACATTGTGATGATTTACATCTATGTTTTCTTCTAAGAGTTTTGTAGTTTTAGCTCTTATTTAAGAATTTGATTCCTTGTGAGTTAATTTTTATACCTGGTGATACATGGTCTGGGATAGGGGGTCCATCTTCATTCTTTGCATGTGGATGTCCAGTTCTACCAGCATCATTTGTTGGAAAGATTATTCATTCCCCTTGAGTTGTCTGGCAGCTTTGTCCAAAATCAATTGTTTTCAAATATATACATCTATATTTCTATATCCTCAGTTCTATTCCATTGGTCTATATGTCTATCTTGATGCCTGTAGGACCCTGACTTTTAAGCCCCACGTTTCCTGGTTGGGCAAGTATCCTCAGGGCAGAAGTGACTTGTGGGAATTTCCTTTACTTCTGTAGGTTCAGCATTTATCCTGGCATTTGGCTCAGAAGTTCATAATCTCGTCAATTCTTCAGTGCTTTTAAGATGATTTTTTAATTTATTTATCCAGCATTAAAAAAAAAAACAAAAAACTTTTCAGGAAGAGGGGCAGTATATTCCTGAGAAGATTTTGGGAAGTAGGGAAATTATTCATGGCTTCTTAGAGAAGGACCACTGTATTCAGTGGGTCTTCCCAGGTGGCCCAGTGTTAGAGAATTCACCTGTCAATGCAGGAGACAGAGGAGATGCAGGTTCGATACCTGAGTCAGGAAGATCCTCTGGAGGAGGAAATGGCAACGCACTCCAGTATTCTTGCCTGGGAAACCCCATGGGCAGAGGAGCCTCGCAGGCTATAGGCCATGGGGTCACAAAGAGTCAGACATGACTGAGCATGTACACACCACGAACCAAATATTCAATATTGCTTTTAAAGTCAGATTTATAATATCTAGTAATAACAGCTGCCATTATTTGAGCACTTTTTCTGTTTCCTGGTGATTCAGACGGTAAAGAATCTGCCTGCAATGCAGGAGACCTGGGTTTGATATCTGGGTCGGGAAGATCTCCTGGGGAAGGGAATGGCATCCCACTCTAGTATTCTTTCCTCGAGAATTCCATGGACAGAGGCACCTGGCGGGCTATAGTCCATGGGGTCGCAAAGAGTCGGATACGACTGAGCGACTAACAAACACACATGTTCTGTCCCAAGTTTTCAACTGGGGGCATGACAGTAACTTTTAATCTCATTAGCATAATGAACCTATAACACGATGGGTTACCCCCATCATTCCTGTTTTATAAACGACTAAGCAGAGACTTCAGAGGTTCTGAGACTTACCTAGGGACAGACAGCGACGATTAGCTGCGTTTACCCAGACCCAGACCTTGGACTCCTTAGCCAGGCTCCGAACCCCCGGGGAACTCCCGTTCTGCGCGTTCCAGTTTCCAGTTCTTCCATGAACACGAGCGCTTTAGGGACTGCGCTTTGTCTCCCTTTCCCGTTCTCCTTTCCCCTGGCCCCCTTGTGGTGGAAGTGTGCACTGCGCCAGGCGGGCGCGCTCTGGAGAGGCGGTCCCAGCTACCCTCACTTCAGTGATCGGTGGGAAGCCTGGGTACACTTCCGGCTCAGACAGAGCGTGGTGCCCCGGAACGTGAGTTTTCACGTGCTCCCGGGGACTTCTGTTGTCTTGGGTCTTGGACCTGACTTTAGGAAAATCTGTAGTATGATTTGTATGTATGTGTCATGATGCAAACATGATCTGTTTACATCATGGATACTGTGGACTTACGGTGTTCTAGTTCCTATTACTGAAGAGCGGGTTTTCCCAGTGTCTGGGGAGTGGCCCTTTCCCTTTTAGTCCCTTTAAAAGCAGTATATGACTTCAATTACTGGTTTTATTATTGGCTGCGCTTGAAGGATGTGGAATCCTAGTTGCCCATCCAGGGATCAGGCCCACCCCGCATTGGAAGCGCAGAGTCTTAACTACTGAACCACCAGGGAAGTCCAATACTTGAATTACTCTTATTTATTTTTTAAATTTCCTTTATTTGTTTTTGCCTGCATTGAGCCTTTGTTGCTGTGCGGGCCTTTCTGTAGTTGTGGCAAATGGGGGCTACTGTTAGCTGCGGCGTGTGGGTTTCTCATTGCAGTGGCTTCTCTTGTTGCAGAGCAGAGGCTCTAGGGCCCTCGGACCTCAATAGCTGTGATGCACCGGCTTAGTTGCTCCCCGGCATGTGGGGTATTTCTGGACCAGGGATGGAGCCCGTATGTCCTGCATTGGCGGGTGGGTTCTCTGCCACTGAGCCACCGGGGAAGCCCTCAGTGATCCTTTGAAATGAGAGCATAGTGTTTAGTGTTTTGTAAGCCTTGTTGTCAGGGAGAGATGAGAATGTTGGAGCCAGGACAACTTTGATGTTAAAATGTAACATCCAGTAACCCTTTGGGTTTGACTGTGGTGGGAGCTGAAGGGAAAAGTAAAGTATCTAGTTATTTTAAGGAAGAAAAATCTCACCCTTTCTTCTCCTTCCTTCGCCCACTCTGTCTCAGATTGTGAAGTGGTCTGACTGCTGTTTGCCGTTAGCTTGCCGACCTGGGGATCCTTATCAGTTAATCGCCAGAGCAAGCGTGGATGACTTCAGCAAACTAGGGGTGGCATTCCTGGAAGATAGACTCCAGATGGCTAATGGACTGATACCCCAGAAGATCGTGTGTAAGTAACTTGGGGAAATGTTCATCATAGCAGGATGCTGTAGTTAACAAGCTTAAGGACAGTTGAGCACTCCTGTTTGGTGTGACTTAAAGTCAACGCTGGTGGTTTAGTTGCTAAGTCATGGCCGACTCTGCAACCCCATAGGCTGCAGCCTGCCAAGACTCTTCTGTCCATGGGATTCTCCAGGCAACTATACCGCGGTGGGTTACCATTTCTTTCTGCAGGGGATCATCCGGACTCAGGGATTGAACCCAAGTCTCCTGCATTGGCAAGTGGATTCCTTCCTGCTGAGCCCCCAGGGAGGCCCTTGTTTGTTAGTATCATTATCACATAAAAGATTGACACCCACGCAACTGAATCTCTAAGCAAGTGGACAAAAATCACCTCTCTGAAACTCCACCTGTTTACCAATCAACATGAGGGTCTGAGGTTTTCTGATCTGTATGGGAAAGATGTGGAAATTCCCAGTTTCACTTGGGATTGTCAGGGGTACCCGTCTAACTGGAGGGTGGGGGGTGGGGAGCGGTTATGTGGATCCCACGGAGGCCGCGGAGTTGAAGGGTGATGTGAGCTGCTTGGAACGGAGGTTGCGGGTACGGAGAAGGCCCCGAGGTTTTGCGCTGAGATGTGAGACAAGGCAGAGGGCTGATGGCTTGTCTTTTCTCTTCCCTTTAGCTGTCCACTTGCGGGACTCTGCCCTAAAGAAACTTAAGGGTCAGGCCTCAGACCTGCCAGCCCAGCTCCTGCAGCCCGACCCCGAATCTTCTGTTGAGAGGAACCCTGAGCCCGACACTATGGAGAGCAACGGCTGGGAGGACCCCCGGTCTCCGGGTTCCGCATCCACACGGGGGCCAGGTGGGGCCCCTGGGGGGGGCGAGCCGGCCATGGACGGTGACAGAGGCGCGGGCTCCGTGGAGCACTGTCCCCTCCATCTGTCAAGCTGCCATGAATGTTTGGAGCTTGAGAACAGCACCATTGAGTCCGTCAGGTTTGCCTCTGCAGAGAACATTCCAGATCTCCCATATGACTACAGCGGCGGTTTGGAGGGCCTCGACGACGACCTCCGCCCTGAGAGGGACGAGAGGAGGGTCAACGTCACGGGCAAGGCCCCCAACATCCTCTTGTACGTGGGCTCTGACTCCCGGGATGGCCTGGACCGGCTCCAGCAGGTCCGATCGGCGCTGGTCGACTGTGTGGACACGGACTGTTACACGCTGTACCACCTGCCGCCGGAAAGCGCTCTCAGGGACCCGTGGGCGGACAACTGTCTGCTGCTGGTCATCGCCACCGCGGAGCCTGTCCCCGAGGACCTGTGCCGCAGGTTCACGGCCTATCTCTCTCAGGGAGGGAAGCTGCTGGCCCTGGCGTCGTCCTTCACGCTGCCTGGCTTCCGGGTGACCAGCAAGGCCCCGCTGCGGGACACGGTCCAGACCTTGGTTTTCTGCAAGGCGGACGGGAGCCCGGTGAGGCTCAGCATCTTGAGCAGCGGCTGCGTTTACGAGGAGGGGCCTGGGGAGCCGCTCGGCCCTGGCAAGCTCCATGGCCACCTGGACAGTGAGGATGGGGACAGGCTTCTGGTGCAGGTGCCTTTCGGGACTCACGGAGGAGAAGCTGTTCTTTGCCAGGTACGGAGGCCTGCAGCCAGGTCTTTGGGTCTCTTGACGGGACACGCTCCTGAAGGTTCCGGAAAGGATGACAGAGGGTCTGTGGGCTGTGTGGGGAGGGTACTTCTGACCTTGTCTGGGGAATTTTTGCCGCTGGTGAGTTGCAGGTTGAGATGCGGGCTGTCCTGTATCCTGTTTCACTGAAAGGCATGTGATGGAGGAGGGAGTGAAAGTGAAAGGCATTCAGCTGTGTCCTACTCTTTGCAACCCCCATGGACTATACGGTCCATGGGATTCTCCAGGCCAGAATACTGGAGTGGGTAGCCTTTCCCTTCTCCAAAGGATCTTCCCAACCCAGGGATCGAATGCAGGTCTCCCGCATTGCAGGCAGATTCTTTACCAGCTAAGGCTATTTAAAGACTGCTGGTTAACCACAGGCTAGCCAAAGCTTCTTGCTTGTTTTAAACTGTATACTGGTTATGTTGTTGTTCAGTCGCTCAGTAGTGTCCGACTCTGCGACCCCAGGGACTGCAGCCACGCCAGGCTTTCCTGTCCTTCACCATCTCCCAGAGTTTGCTCACACTCATGTCCGTTGAGTCGGTGATGCCATCCGACCATCTCATCCTCTGCCGCCCCCTTCTCCTCTGGTTGGTTATACTCTTTCTAAAATCTGTCAGTTCACTCTCTTGCTTCAAAACACCCTTTAGTTAATAAACTGAAACTGTTATCTAATGTAGGGAATTGAGCTCTGTGGGGTGTTGATTCCCAACAGTAGTGTCTATCACATTAAAATGTTGTAGTTGATGTCAGGGATGTGCCTGAACGCTCACCAGCTGCTGGGGTACTGTGTGAAAACACCTTCAATTCCTTAGTTCCTTTATGATTTGTCACTCTTAAAATCTAAGTGCTTAGCACAAGTTCAAATAAGTGAAGTGATCTTGAAGTGATTTCTGGCAAATTATTACATAGGTGGTGGCGCTAGTGATAAAGAACCCGCTTGCCAATGCAGGAGATGTAAGAGACCCGGGTTTGATCCCTGAGTGGGGGAGCTCCCCCTGGAGAAGGAAATGGCAGCCCACTCCAGTATTCTTGCTTGGGAAATCCCATGGACCGAGGAGGCTGGTGGGCTACAGTTCATGGGGTTGCAAAGAGTCGGACACGACTGAAGGGACTTAACACACACACACACACATAAATACATAAGTAAGAAAAAAATGGAGACAGATAAAAGGAAAATGCTACTTCCGTTCCATCCTTAGGGGATGTCTTTGGTTCCAGAGCTGGTTTTTTTCCCCCCGTGTTCCCCTTTTAGCTTTCTGTTTGTTTGTTTAAGCAAATGGTAGCAGGATAGACTGCTTCAGAATTCCTGATCATTTACTGCAGATCTTTTAATACCTTTGGACGAAAGATTTTGTTAGAGTTTAGATGAACTCTCATCCTTAAGGATTTGTGATCTAATGAGAAAGCTAAGTAGATGTGGCTCTTTTGCCCAGAATGGTTCCCAGGATGAGTGTAACAGATTTTGTTTTATTATATGGATCTTTTTATTGAGTTAGAGAATTGTTTGCCTTCTTTTTTGGTATGACTTCTTTTCATTTCATATCTCTCTCCAGTCCTCCTATAAATTAAGTCTCTTGGGTTTTCTGATCAGACTTTCTTCAAGGGGACAGATACTTGTTTCTTTACTACTCTAAAGTTAACTCACTTGTTCTTAAGGTAATACTTCTTGAATTATATGTAGGTGTATATAATGAAGATTATAGATGCATATAATGAAGAAATCTGACCATCAGGCCAGATAAACTTGTACAACCCAAGCTGATTTCATGTGGGCTGCAAATCCCATGAATTCATTTTTGGAGGCCTAATAAATGCTCCTCTTTTTTTTCTCTGCAAATATGGTAACTATAGTAACTCTCCCTTCTCAGAAAATCCACTTAAAAACCTGACTTCCTCGAGCTGTATTTCAGCTTTGAGTAGTGAATTTTACCACCCCGGTGCACAGACTTGTACTAGAAAATTGATTCGGCACTGTGGTGATCCGTTGCTCTGAATCACATAGCAGATCTGCCTGCTGCACCATTTAAATTGACCCCATCACTGTCATAAAATTTGATACTGCATGCATTGCCCTAGGAAAACAAAAGGCAATATGATGCGGCTTCAAAAATGAGATTCAGAGGATTAGAATGTCATTTTTGATTTTAAATGACTTTCACTGTCTGTGTTCCAGAGTCACTGTTTTCTCCTCGGCCTGTGTCACTACCATACCGCCGAGATCAACCAGTAAATCTGAGCACAGGCTGGCTGTTTTCCTCTTTCCCTGTTCCATTTCATAGTCTTCATCTTTGTCGTAAATGGGGCATTGATGTAACCCAGTAAGAGGAGGGCTTCACGGGCAAACCACAGCTGCACAGTAGGTGGTGGTCTCACAGCCAGGGAACCAGTTAATGCCTTGGACGTTCATAGTCACACAGAAAAAGGAAATCTTGGTGTACCGCTCTACTGACCAGACAGGCAGGAACAATTTTTAAGGTTGTGGATTAGGGCAGACACTTGATTACCAAATGAACCAGGACATTGGCATGAAGTTGTCCAAGTAGAGCCTGTGAAATGGATTTGAAGTATTCTGTGTCCTTATTGAGCTAGCACATGGCAGAGGCGGTTGTGCTTCCATAGCAGAGTTTCTCGACCATGGCATTGCTGACATTTTGGATGGGTCACTTCTCTGTGGTGGGGTCGTTAGCAGCACCACCTCCTTGATGTTTGTGACCGAGGACATTGTTAGTTTTGACTCTTTGTTGTTTAGTCACTTAGTCATGTCTGACTCTTTGCAACTCCATGGACTTCAGCACGCCAGGCTTCCCTGTCCTTCACTGTCTCTCGGAGTTTGCTCAGTCATGTCTGTTGAGTCGGTGATGCCATCCAACCATCTCATCCTCTGTCGTCCCCTTCTCCTCCCGCCTTCAGTCTTTCCCAGCATCAGGGTTTTTTCCAATGAGTCAGCTCTTTGCATCAGGTGGCCAAAGTGTTGGAGTTTCAGCTTCAGCATCAGTCCTTCCAATGAATATTCAGGACTGATTTCCTTTAGGATGGAGTGGTTGGATCTCCCTGCAGTCGAAGGGACTCTCAAGAGTCTTCTCCAACACCACAGTTCAAAAGCATCAATTCTTCAGTGCTCAGCTTTCTTTATGGCTCAACTCTGACATCCATACATGACCATTGGAAAAACCATAGCTTTGACTAAAGCTTTGGGTCTGGTCTAAATGCCTTAATTTTAGACAAGGCCAGGTTACTGAAATGGGCCCATTGCTATGGTAACATCATTACAGCTGGAGGGTGAGACATTGGTCTCAAACTGCAGAGGACCATGAGGGTGAGTGTGGCTAGCACGCACCCCGGTGGCCTTTTTGCGGAGCGAGGTGCAGAGGCAGATGTGGCCTCTCTTCTTGTCTCCGCTGTGTGTGTATGTTAGTAAGTCATGTTTGACTCTTTGTGAGCTCATGGCCTGCAGCCCGCCAGGCTCCTTTGTCCATGGGGATTCTCCAGGCGAGAATACTGCCATTCCCTTCTCCAGGGGAATCTTCCCGACCCCAGGGATCGAACCCAGGTCTCCCACACTGTGGGCAGATTCTTTACCCTCTGAGCCACCAGGGAAGACCCTTCTACATTGTAGAAACACCTCATCTTGAAACTGACAACAGCCCTCAGCATACAATGTTTGACGTTTCCTTCACCTCCTGCAATCCCGAGGACTAGGGGGAGCTCTCCTCCTCCTTCTCCTCATCTCCCACCTGTGACAGTGTAACACCCACCCTGGGGTACTTGCTTTGTGCAGGGGGCACATGTACCTTTAACACTCGCCCCTCCCTTCCCTGCCCCGGCCCCAGGTGAGGACAGAGCTTGCTCATTTGATTTCTGCCGCCTGCAAGAGGTAATCTCCGGACAGTCACATGATCACCTGGATGAAATGTGACCCGTCGCCGTGCTGACCGTCTGTCCCAGCACTGGCCTTGTCCCCAGGAGAGGAGAGGTACACCTTTGGGTAACAACATAGAGGACACGCAGTGGGATTCAAATACCTTAAAGCATGTCACTCTTCTGCCTTCTCCCTCCTCCAGGGCAGTTTAAGGCAGGGGTCCCCAGCCCCCAGGATCTAACGCTTGATGATCTGAAGTGGAGCTGATGGAATCATAATAGAATACATGTAATGTGCTTGAATCACCCTGGACCTCCCTCCTACTCCCCCCAACCCTGTGGGAAAATTGTCTTCCATGAGGATGATCCCTGCGGCCAAAAAAGGTTGGGGCCTGCTGATAGTGGGCACCAGGCTCAGTCGTGGGTGAAGCGGGCAGCCCTCAGCTGACCCGATGTGGGAGGTGGACAGCTCTGCGAGCCTTCTTAGATGGGCTTCAACTTTCCACAAGCGCATTGTTTTGGTCAGGGTATTTGGGCAGTATTTTTGTTCTGGTTAAGACTTGAGTGGGGATCGAGAGATTTTAAGTTGCCTAAAGGCTGGCCCTAGGCTTTTTATCATGTTCTTATAACATCAGGCCGGGAGTTCTGCTGGCAACAGAAAGCCACAGCTGTCCCTGGCAAAAGCAAGAGTGCCGCGATGAACATTGGGGTACACATGTCTCTTTCAATTCTGGTTTCCTCGGTGCCAACATGTTTTTTAAATCGAAGGATAATTGCTTTACAATACCGTGTTGGTTTCACATCACCATGAATCAGCCATAGGTACACATATGTTCCGTCCCTCTTGAACCCCCCTCTCACCTCCCATCCATCACCAGCACTCTTGTTCAAGAGGTGAATGAGGCCACTGCCATCCCTGGTAGTTAGGACCCGTAGGTAGAACAGGAGTTTCAAGCATGACTCGCCATGCCCTCCTAAGTTCAGCAGCAACTATACTTGGGTTCTCAGCACACTCATTTTCCTCAACTCTTCATCCTATAACCATGTTAAGTGACTTGTCCGAGGTCCTGTGACTGACTAGTGATAAAATTCGGGACCTGGAAAATGACTATCCGTGGTCATTTAGTGCAGATCCTTTTAGCCTTCACAGCCACAACTTTTTTTTCCCTCCCATCAGTAAGAACTTATTAGGTTAACTATCTTTAAGGCAAAGTTTGATAGTTCTTTTTAAAAAATTTACTTATTTTTAATTGAAGGATAATTCCCTTACAATATTATGTTGGTTTCTGCCATATAGCAACATAAATCAGCCACAGGTATACATGTGTCCCCTCGCTCTTGAACCTCCCTCCCCCTGCTTCCCCATCCCGCCCCTCTAGGTTGTCACAGAGCCCCAGTCTGGGCTCCCTGAGTCATATGGCAAATTCCCACCGGCTCTCTGTTTTACATGTGGTGAAGTGAAGTGAAGTGGTAGTCTCTCAGTCGTGTCTGAGTCTCTGAGCCCGCCAGGCTCCTCCGTCCATGGGATTTCCCAGGCAAGAATACTGGAGGGGGTTGCCGTTCCCTTCTCCAGGGGATCTTCCCAACCCAGGGACTGAACCCGGGTCTCCCACACTGCAAGCAGATTCTTCACTGACCCAGCAGGGAAGCCAGATGGTGGTGTGTATTTCTCTCTCCGTTCGTCCACGGCCGTGATTTTAATGGGCTCCCTTGACTCTTTTCGCCGCTTGTTGTTCTTTTCCAAATGGCCAGGTTCCAGGTTTATATAGTGTTGATAATGAGAAGAGTGCATGTTCCAGTTTTCGGAAAAGCTAGTGAGGACACTGCTCTTGCTCTTGTCCCTCAGTGCCTCTGATTTATGAAGTGGTGTCTTTTCCCCCTCAGGTGCACTTGGAACTACCTCCCAGCTCTCCGGTAGTGCAAACGCAAGAGGATTTTAACCTGCTCAAATCAAGCAACTTTAAAAGATATGAAGTCCTAATGGAGATCCTGACAACACTGGGTCTAAGCTGCGATGCAAAGCCAGCTCCTGCCTTAACGCCTCTTTACCTGTTGTCGGCGACGGAGGTGAGTGTGTGTTGGGGAGGGACCCCCTCAGATGCCCTTCTTCAGAATGGTGACCCTTCCCCCAGTTGTTGTGTGGCAGGGGGTTTCAATTTTGATTTCTGTTTTTTTTAAAAAAATATTTATTCATTTATTTTTGGCTTTGCTAGGTCTTTGGTTGCAGTGTGTGGGCTTCTTATCGCGGGGGCTTCTCTTGTTGCAGCACAAGGGCCTCATAGTTGCCCCACAGCATGTGGGATCATCCCAGACCAGGGATCGAACCCATGTCCTCTGTGCTGGCAGGCAGGTTCTTCACCACCAGACCACCAAGGACGTCCTGGATTTCTGTTTCAATTTTTCTGTTTTTCTTTTGACTTTGGGTTTGGAAATCACAGTAAAATTGTCCAAGTGTAACTGATTTTTTTTTTTTTTTTGGTGTTTTTATAAAGAAGAGGGAGACAACACTGGAGTTTAGAGGGTGTTAAGTCTCTTAAGTTATCGCCCTTTCCACTCGAGGCGGGGAAAGGGCAGTTTTATGTGTCAGGAGTGTCTTTGGAAAGCACACTGTGTTCAGTTGGGATTAAAAGCCTTTGTTTGGATTTGGGCCTTTCTCAGGGAATTTTTGGATGGGTAAACCACAACTTTTGTGCTGATGTCTGCCCTCTTGTGGCAAAGGAGGTCTCTGGGTTTCAGTTTATGTCTTTTAGTTTTGTCTAAAAGGAAAATGCTACGGAGTTGGGAATGTATTCAGAATTTTTCTTGGCCTTTTGTCTTCGTTTATGCCTGAGGTTGTTACCAGGTTGGGCTGGTTGCCAGGTTCTTCGGGTACGTCTTTTCGATAATCTCTTGGCTTTGTGAAGCTGTTAAATTTCTTATTACTTGGGGCATATTATTTTGTGGGTCTGTCTCTTCCTCAGTAGGTAAACTTGCGAGTTTAGTGACATAACTGTGTAGTTTCAGCAAATACCTGATAGTCTAGGTTATTCTAAACTTACCTGCTTTCCCTTGAAAACAGCAAATTATACCCTCTGCACCAACATTTCTAAAGGGAGGAGAATTCTCTGTTTTCTCTTGGGTGTCTTTTTGTTTGTTTGTTGTCTTATTTAAGCCACGGGTGCAGCCTATGGGATCTTAGTTCCATGACCAAGGATTTAAACTCAGGCCCTCGGCAGTGGAAGCTGGGAGTCCTAACTGCTGGAAATTCCCTGAGGAATTCTCTTTTGGGTTGTCCTCTGTCCCCTGGCCAACCTACTTTTCGGCAGAGACTAGAGCTGTGAGTTTTCTGGGTGGGAATGTCAGCTGGAGGAGACAGATAGAAAATCTGACAGCATTTAGGATTCGGATACCTTGCAGGAGTATTTGAGGACTACATGAAGCCATACCTGTGAAAGTTTTGTGTAAATTGTATTATTTAAACTTTAGCGCAATTATTATTGTTACTGTTATATTATTATTGTTGTTGTTGGGAGACTGAATGAGTTAAGAGTGTATAATGTGCCTAATAAGTTCCTGATGCCTAGGATAAAAGGACTAAGTGATGTTTTTAATAAAAAAAAAATTGTAACTATAGCAATGGATGATGTTTTTTTAATCTAAGAAACATTCATTGCATTTTCTTACTTTTTTTTCTTCTATTTTTGGCTGTGCTGCACGGCATGGAGGATCTTAGTTCCCTGACCAAGGGCCGAACCTGCACTTCCTTTAGTGGAAGTTTGGAGTCGTAACTCCTGGATATCCAGGGAATTTGCCGCCCCCCCCCCCCACCCCCCACACCAAATTAAAAGTATGGCAATGGTTAATTTTTTTTTTTTTCTGCTTAAGAAACATTCATTGCATTTTCTTTACACAGATTTTAGGCAGTCAGCCCTCTTCTTTTTTTTTTTTTTTCCATTTATTTTTATTAGTTGGAGGCTAATTACTTTACATCATTGCAGTGGTTTTTGTCATACATTGAAATGAATTAGCCATGGATTTACATGTATTCCCCATCCCGGTCCCCCCTCCTACCTCCCTCTCCACCTGATCCCTCTGGGTCTTCCCAGTGCACCAGGCCCGAGCACTTGTCTCATGCACCCAACCTGTCAGCCGTCTTCTTAATGGGTGCTCTTGGGGATTAATGTTAGGACTTCTGTTTGTACTTTCATCTCAGACCTCAAAGCTCCACATCGTTTATCTCTGTTTTATGTGTTAAGTTAACAGAAGGCAAAGCATCAGCTCCATCTTGTGACATTAAGTGTTGAAATAAAGCCAGTCCTCTGAGCTTCAACTATTATAGATACAACTATAGAAAGCTATGACAAACCTAGACAGCATGTTAAAAAGCAGAGACATCACTCTGCTGTCAAAGGTCCATCTAGTCAAAGCTATGGTTTTTCCAGTAGTCATGTATGGATGTCAGAGTTGGACCATAAAGAAGGCTGAGCGCCAAAAAATTGATGCTTTTGAACTGTGGTGTTGGAGAAGACTCTTGAGAGTCTCTTGGACTGCAAGGAGATCAAACCAGTCAATTCGAAAGGAAATCAACCCTGAATATTCATTGGAAGGAATGATGCTGATGCTGAAACTGAAGCTCCAATGCTTTGGCCACCTGATGTGAAGAGCCAGCTCATTGGAAAAGACCCTGATGCTGGGAAAGACGGAGGGCGGGAGAAGAAGGGGACGACAGAGGATGAGATGGCTGGATGGCATCACCGACTCGACTGACGTGAATTTGGGCAAACTCTGGGAGATGGTGAAGGACAGGGAAGCCTGGGATGCTGCAGCCCAGGGGGTCGCAGTGAGTTGGACACGACTGAGCGACAGAACAACAGGAAAGCCCCCACGCTGGAGGGACGGTGCGGAGCTTCGGGTGAGGGTTTCTCAGCCTCTGGAGTGTGGCTGTCACCCTGCCAGACCTCTCGCTCTCCTTGCCTGAGTGTGGAGCGCTGAGGCTGGACCCACGAGGGGCGCCTGCCTGCTCCAAGGCCAGGGAGGGAGGCCGACGCAGGCTGGCCCTGTCAGTGCCCTCTGACTTCTCCCGTGAGTTCTGACCATGCCAACCTTGGGACTTGAGCCTCTTGACTCTTGGACGTAGCAGTGGAAAGAGTCACCTGCTCTTGTCTTAATCCCCTGTGAGCTAGGTTTGGAAGTCTAGCTTTTCCCGTGTCTTCTTTAGGATGGGCACAACCTTGGGCTTTGCATATTTGTCTGTGTATAAGCTGAAACTCCAATACTTTGGCCACCTGATGTGAAGAGCTGACTCATTGGAAAAGACCCTGATGCGGGGAAAGATTGAAGGCGGGAGGAGAAGGGGACGACAGAGGATGAGATGGTTGGATGGCATCAACGGACGTAAGTTTGAGTAAACTCCGGGAGTTGGTGATGGACAGGGAGGCCCGCGTGCTGCAGTCCACAGGGTCACAAAGAGTTGGACACGACTGAGCGACTGAACTGAACTGAACTTGTATATTACAATACCCAGAAGATGCTTTATATTTTTGTTCTCCTGGTTTTTTTTAACTGCCTGGGGGTGGGAGTTCCATTTTCTCCTATTGATTGATAACCCCCACTGACGACAGGGAAGCCTTCGGTGTGGCAGTCTGTGGGGTTCACAAAAGAGTCTGATACAACTTAGCAACTGAACAATAACAACAACAACTCAACAAACCATGGGAATGCAAAGGTTTAACAATGTGAAAACAAATGTAAAAGTGAAAGTGTTAATCGCTCAGCTGTGTCCAACTCTGTGTGACCCCCATGGACTCCTGTAGCCCGCCAGGCTCCTCTGTCCACGAAATTCTCCAGGCAAGAATACTGGAGTGGGTAGCCATTCCCTCTTCCAGGGGATCTTCCTGACCTAGGGATCAAACACGAGTCTCCTGTATTGCAGGCAGATTCTCTACCATCTGAGCCACCAGGCAAGCGAATATTTGATCTGTATACACACACACAAACATTCCGCGCAGACCCCATGCCGGCCTTTACTATGTAGTATCTTTGGGAAAGAGTGATTCTGAGAAATGTTCATTTCTCATTTTGAGTCTTCCACTTGGCCTGATGGGTCTTGGATGTCTATCCTGTGGACTACTTTCCCCTCCTGCGTTCTTCGCTCTGGATTCTGCTTCCTTTGGGAGTGCAGGGGATTGAGTACAGGAGTGACTGTTGTGTGTGTGTGTGTGTATATGTGTGTGTGTGTGTATATACACACACACACACGTCTCCTCATTTCTTAGTGGTTTTTAATTCCTCTTAGAAGACCTTGAGTTCGCTGTAGAAAGAAATTCAAGAATTCAGGGTTTTAGCGTATGTTTTCCTGCAATACAAGTTCTCCGAAGGATCACTGTGCAAATGAATGTGAAGGTGGCTGCTCGTTGATCGGCTGTGATGGTCCTTCTGGACGAGTCCCCCAGCTGCTCTTCTGATGCTGAGCTGGAGACATCTTGGAACACCTTGGAGTCGTTGTGCTGGTGCTCCATGTTAGAGATACGGATGGCAGACTGGGAACAGAATTGGACTGTACTTTCTGTTTGGTTTTCCTTTGTTAGGCTTTTTAATAGATCTCACTGCTCTGCATGGAAGTAAGTTACAAGGGGAGGATCCTGGTATCCATCATCTGTTACACATGACTCATCCTTAGGGTTCTCACCTGCCTTTGGGATTAGATGCCACTAGACTCTCTGCTTCCTGCTTCCTGTAAAATACTCTGTGCTGTTGGGAATCTGAGATCTCTGACCACACGGTGTCGCTGCTGAGCCAGGCTTCCTGGTGAGCAGGAAGAGATTTGATTTTTTTTTTCCCCCCTTCTCTCTCTACATCAGTTTTGCATAGTGTAATTTAGTCGTTTCGGTGGCACTTTTCTTTTGGGCCCATAGAAATTATTTCAGAGTCACAGTTAATAATATTCGCCTTTCACTGAACATTTACTGTGTACTAGGTGGGACCATAGGATGAACTATGAAAGAACAAAATAAACACACTGGCTATCTAAATAGTTTTACTGCATACCAGCTGTGTTTATACAGTTTGGTGCCTGGACACTCACTCTT